TGACATTCTATCTCCCACCTCTTCACTGCATAGGCCGTGCCCCATCCCTTGAATATACTTCCTTTTCATCTCTACCTCACAGAATCCCTTACTCCCTTGAAAGCTCAGCTCAAGTGCCAAGTGCTACCTTTTATGGAAAGTCTACCCTGATCCTTCCTGTTGGTGTCCTTTCCCCAATTATTTTGAATCTATTTTATGTATATTTTGTAGTTATTTTTCTGTGCACATGTCGTTTCCATCAAGTAGAATGTAAACTCCTTGAGGACAGGGATTGCTTTTTGTCTTTATATCTCTATGGTACTTAGCAAAGGCCTTAGCACAAAGGCGATGCTTAATAAATGCTTACTGAATTGAATAATTAAATTCTATACTGTTCACCCTCAGGAGTGTTTATCTGTCTATCAATTGACTCCTTATGTCTAGTTAAAACATAGTTCTTGGAATGTATTATTGTGTTAGTGGGACCTAGGGCTAATTTATTTTATGTGTTTTAATACAAATCTGTGTGTGTTTCAGCATAATGAAATACTTATGAAGATCATTTAGGCTAGGTGGAGATACAGTATAATATGGCATAAAAGCAAAAATAAAAACAACCAACTTAGAGTCTAGGTTCAAGGTCAGGCTTAATTATTTATAAGCTCTGTGACATTTTGAAAATCACTTAACCCTTCTGAACTTGGTTTTCTCATTTTGGGGGAGGGGTGAGGCAATTGGGATTAAGTGACTTGTCCAGGGTCATGCGACTAGTAAGCGTCAAGTGTCTGAGGCCAGATTTGAACTCAGGTCCTCCTGACTCCAAGGCTCGAGCTCTATCCACTGTGCCACCTAACTGCCCCTTGGTTTTCTCATCTTGAGCATGCATTGTGGGGTTTACGGTATATGAAAGGGTTTAGTGCCTGTGATTCATTCTATGCTGAGGATATAATAATTGCTTAACAAATGTTTGAATCATGATTGCTAGTAGCTAGTATTAAAGTAAAACAGCAATTTAAAGTAAGGGTCAGGACTTTAACAAGCAATCTCTGTGGCAAAAACCAATCACAAATGAAAAACAACTTCCATTTGTTTTACTAAGTGCAAAATATTCTCACTGATTTTTAAAATTTAGAATCATCAATATAAATTGTTAAATAAGTATACCTAATGCCAAAATCATACTTTAGATCCCTAGTTTGGCCAGAGACAAGGGAGAGAGAAACATTTATATTAATGATGGAGAATCAAAAGAAAATGGAAGAAAAGAAGAGATAAGTAAACTACTAGTCATAAGATGCTGTTTACTTGGCTCTGGTTTCTGGAGAAAACTATCACTACCATCTTCAGTGCATAGTATCTAATTAGCCATTGTTCACAAGTCATCACCTGCTCTTATCCTGAAAACTACAGAAGCCATTCTCTAAATGCCATAGGCACAGCAACCCATCAAGAAAATATGAAATTATTTTCTGGGCCTCAGAGGTGGTGACCACTAAAAAAAATAAAGCAAACTGAGAATTAGAACCGTTTTTTTTTTTTCTATATCTGATCTAAATTAACCTCTATAACTTGCTAGAAATAATGTTGCTCCAGATAGGAGAGCTAAGAAAAGAAACATAAACAGTAGTCCTAGAAAACTAAAAGATCTCTGAATTCTCTGAAGTTACAAAGATAATTTTGAATTTGCTATTGGAAGCTCAAAATGGTAAATCAGCAAGACCCAAATCAAAATTGTTCTCTGCAGATTTTCCTTCCTTAAACTTCCCCTGGTTGGGCTGTAGGTTGCCGGTAGCTGGGTTTCTCTTCCCTTCCCCTCCTTATTAGCAGGACTCACTAGCAAGAGTATCTGAAGAAGACAAAGGCATAGGACCCCCGTCTTTTGTCCTTCGTGTCATCTCTTCTGTTCAAGTCTATTTCCAATGATTACTATGGTAACAAGCTTTAAAACAAGAACATGGTTTCCATTGCAGGGAAGCCTCCCTGGAAAAATATTTACAGACCTCATGAGGGATCTACGCCCTGACCCGGATTGCATTCCTAGGTCCCAGGCCACAGAATGTATACATTGGAATCTGTTCCATGTGGGAAAATGTGATCATTGGGATTGATTTCCTCCCTTGGTGCTTTGATCTTCTGAGGCATCTGTGATCTCATCAGTATGGATATTCCCTTGACCACAGATTCCAGTCCCCACTTTAAAAGGGGGAGGTGGGCAGGGGAAGATAGATGGTACAGTGGGTGGAGTACCAACTCTGGAGTCAGGAGGACGTGAATACAAATCCGGCCTCAGACACTAGCTGTGTGACCCTGGGCAAGTCACGTAACCCTGTTTGCCTCAGTTTCCTCATTTATAAAATGAGCTGGAGAAGGAAATGGCAAACTACTCTAGTATCTTTGCCAAGAAAGCCCCAAATGGGGTCACAAAGGATAGGACATAACTGAACAACAACCATCTTTGAATAAAGTACAATAACTAGTCTTCCTGGTATTCCATTACATTAACTTACCACAATTTATTTACCTACCTCATTTGTGTACATTTAAATTGCCTCTAGTTTTTTAAAATTACATCTAATGCTGCTATGAAATTCAGAATACATAGGGCCTATATAAGGAGAGCATATTTTTTGGTGGGGGGAGGTCAGGACATATGATTTATTTGGGGAACCCCCAGGAGGAAACCTCTTCTACCGATGAAGATCAGCATAAGATCTGTCACTAGCAGCCTTAGAGATTTGCCTAGAGGCACTGAGAAGTTAAATGACTTGCTTGGGATATCTTATACCTGATATGCTCCCAACTCCACCAACTCGTAGTGACCGAAGTAAAGGAAAACCTAAGTACCTAGAGCAACTTTTCCTTCTCGTTTTGTACAGTGTTTCTGCGCCTTTCCATAAATCCTCCATAGAAAATACACACATCTAATTAGTGGGAGGCTATTCTCTGGCACCAAGGTGCCACTCAAGTCCCCCTGTCTATTCTTGAATGTTCAATATGCATCTTGCTATCCCAACAGTATCCCAAGATTCTTGATTATATGGCATCATTGGGAGGATACTGGTTTTAAGGAATAGAAAGAACTATGCGGTGATGGTCCCGCTATCCTCTCCCCCAGCAAAACTACGTCTGGAAGATCATAGTTAGTTCTGGGCGTCCCCTTTTAGGAAGGACATTGAAAAGCTGGAATGGGTCCAAAGGAAGGGAGCCAAAGACGGCATAGGCCTTCCTTGATGCCATATATGGAGCCTTTGAATGAACTGGGGAAGTTTAGCCTCTAGTGCAGTGGAAAGAACGTTGAATTCAGAGCTAGAGAAGCTGGGCTTAAATCACAGATCTGCCACTTTTTACTGTGTGGCCCTGGACAAGTCACTTTGCCTCTCCAGGCCTCCATTTCCTCATCTTTCAAATAGGAATAGCAAAAGAAATAACCTCCGAAGTCTTTTCTAGTTTGAAATCTGTGATCCAGATGCAGCTTTGGTGTGAGGGATGGTGTGATAGGAAGAGAGAAGGTAACTACCTTCAAGTGTTTGGGGTGCTTTCCCCTGACAGAGGGTTTAGATCTGCTTGCTTGGTCCCTGAGGACTAGGAGCCCTGGCAGTCAGCCACAAAGGGGCAGATTTTGGCTTAATATAGGGAAAAACTTCCTCATATTTGCAACCCTCCAGATTGTCTTGGGAGGCTGTGGGTTCAATTCAGTTCAAAGAACATCAAATGTGAGGAAGGCATTGAAGGTAAAAAAGAAAAAGAAACAAGAGCCTGCCCTCAAGGAGCTTATCTTTTATTACTTACTACATAATAGCTAACATTTATATAGTGCTTACAATGTGCTAGGTGTGGTGCTAAGTGCTTTACAAATATTATCTATCTGATCCTCACAACAACCCTGAAAGGTAGGTGCTATTATTGTCCCATTTACAGGTGAGGAAACTGAGGCAAATGGAGGTTAAGTGACTTGCCCAGGATCATATAGCTAGGAAGTGTCTGAGGCTGGATTTGAACTCGGGTCTTTCTGACTCCAGGCCTGGTACTCCATCCTCCATGCCCCCTAGCTGCCTTGAGGATATTCTTGTTCTCTCCAGTTGGTAGGACACTCTTCCTCGTGAAATGCCTTTGTTTCTATTTTGTATTTATTTAAGTGTACAAGTTGTTTCTCTCCAGTACCATGTAAGCTCCTCAAGGGTAGTGACTGTTTAATTTTTCTTCTGTCCCCAGTGCACAGTGCCTATAATGTAGTAGCCTCTAAATAAAAAATTGCTGAACTGAATTGAAGATATACACATGAAAAAACTAGAAGGTGTTAGTAACTGTCATTTGTATAGCATTTTATGTGCAGTCTGGCTTCTGACCCTACCGCAGGACTACAACTACCCTATGTATTCCAAAGTTATTCTCCGTGGGGTATCAGACAATAGCAGCTGCTTCAGGAAATGAATTTCTGTCAGCCATAGCTTATGAGGGTGGATACTGTTGCCGATAGATATGCCTTACCTAGGGACATAGTCCTATGGGAACCATCGCCTGGTGGAGAAAGAAGATTCCAGGAGGAACATTAATTGTACGCACTCCCATGGAAAGGATACCTTCGTGCTGTGACCTCCCAGTGTCCACCAATAGATTCATGTGGCATGCTAGAGATGCGAAGGGTCTTGTACTAAAACACAGCATGGTATAGGGGAGAGAGCGCTGCACTCCTTGCTGTGACATTTGCTAGCTGTGTGACCATGAGCAGATAAGGTAACTTCCTGAGCCTCTATTTCCTCATCTATAAAATGGGTATAGTAGTAATTGTACTACCTACTCTTGAGTGTTGTTGTGAGGAAGGGACTTTGTAAGTATTAAAGGACTACAGAAAAGTTACTATGGAGAGAATGATGATGTAATTGCTGTGGGTCTATGCACAGTACTAGGTATGCATCTTCCTGCCTCTCCCAGTGCCCTTACACATCACCCTTCCTGTTCTTCCTCTCTCTGGGCTACGCCTGATTTGGTTCCTTTTCTCACTGTCCGCTCACCTTCGCTAGGATCTTCATCCCCAAGAAGCACCGGCAGCGTTTTGACGAGGTCGTGTCTCAGAGTCTCATCAGCAAGCTCTGCCGCACCAAGAGGGAGCAGCAAACACACCGGCTCCGGCGCAGCCGCAGCGAGGACCACCCTGAGCGCCTGATGGTGTCTACACGGGCCAGCTCAGTGCCACGAGGCCCAGAAGATGCGGGCAAGGGACTGAGGAAAACCACCTCTCTCGTTGCCAGCAGAGTAAGCTCGGGTGCTGCCCGCAGGTAATGAAGGCTTTTAACTGCTCCCCAGGCTCTGTTTCTCTCTGGGCCTGGGGAGGTAAGATGATGGGAAGATGGTAACGATGGGTGCTGAGGGTGGTCGGGGAATATGTGTACCTACTGATTCCGAGCTGTGGCAGGAGATAAAGCAGTTTGGGTGCTGGGCTTGTGAGAAGGAAGGGAGCGATAGGAAGGCCTGTTGCTGAGAGGTATGTGAGGCCGGGGCTAGAATGGACACCCAGCTATGTAAGGTGGTAGTGGGAGAGGAGGAAGAGGGATTAGATGACCTCTTAAAGTTTCTTCCAGTGCAAAATTTTTGTATTTCTGAATATAGGTTCCCGTGTGTGCTTATTGGTTCCAATATAATGGTGTCATGGATTTCTTAGCTTTCTGTAGAGTTAGCTAATCAGTCTAACCCATCAAGTCATGGCCCAGTCCATATATACATGGGATCACACACATACTTATGTGTATATGTATGTATGTATGATTGACTTCTAAAGTGACTTCTCCAACCTTGACTTTAAGCTTGAGTTTGATTTCATATTTCCAAGTAACCTTGGAACATCTCCTCTTGGGCAGTCTGCTGCATCCCTTCCTCAGCCCTGCTACTTCCACTCCTACTCATTCTTTTTTTTACTCCCTCCTCCTATAATTCTCTTGGGTACTACAAAAAATCTACTTAGGATCAAGCCTGGAAAAGCCCAGTTAGAGCTGGTGACTATTACCCTCTTTTCTACCAGCAAGAAAAATGGCTGAACTTGACACATGCAGGTCTATTAACTTCATGGATTAATTCCTGATAAATTGTTTGAGGTAGTAACTGATGGGTTGAGGCCATTACCCTCTCCCTTGAGTGCAAATCATTCTGTATCTCTTTTGGAGGTGTGAGATTTTCCCATGCTGCTTTGCAGTAATGGAAGTGAGGACAATGATGATGGCTGGGGGCAGATCATCCTCTTCCTTTCCTGCATGTTACTCTTTTGTGGGGATCTTTCCCACAGAATTCTTTCAAGTTACCGTGTTGTGATGGGAAGAAGGAAAGTTGAGGAAAGGCTGCAGAAGGAGTTGTATTTGAATTGTCTGAACACTTGGGGATATGAGGAAAGACAAAAGCTGTAAGAGAGATCTGATCTGACACAACCCATCCAGCTCTATTTGACTTTTCTGGGACTTTTGTTATGAGACCCTGGGGTATTGGAGATGGGACAAAGTGAAGGCAAATCTAATCCATCCTGAACTTCCCTTGGCTGGCCTCTAAGAGGGTGCAGGCTCCAGGAAAGGGACAGACCTGGGGAAAGTAGTATTACTCAAGACTCTATCACAGCTTCTTTCCTTTTACCTTGTACAGGACAGTTCGAGTGTACAAAGGCAACAAAAGTTTTGGCTTCACACTTCGAGGTCATGCCCCAGTATGGATAGAGTCTGTCCTGCCTGGTGAGTGGTGCTGATGTGGTTGGAGGAAGGAGAGGGAGAGAAAGCAGCCATCTTGGAGTTTGAGCTGGAACTTTGCTTTGTTTGGTACCATTTCTGTTACGAGGTTTAAGCACCAGATATCCTGCTGCCAAGCCACCAGGGAGTGAACAGAGATGGGAAGGAGGCAAGGGGTCCTCCTTTGCTCTCTCCTGGGCAGTCACCTGTGGGAAGTCACAGAGCCATGCTACCTGGCTTGGTTAGTAGCTGGAGGGGAGACCACCTCCCCAATAATACAAGGTGGTATAGGCTTGTTCCTTTTAAGACAGCATGGAGTAGTGAATACAGTGTTGGACTTAGAGTGTGGAGGCCCTGGTTTTGAATCCTGCCTCAGACACTTATTAGCTGTGTAATCCATGACAAGTCACTTAACCTCTCTATTCCTCAGTTTCCTCATTTGTAAAATAAAGAGATTGGACTTGAAGACCTTTAAGATCTTGTCCAACTCCAAATCTATGATGCTATGATGTTACAAGCCCCCCAGTTTTGAGAAAATGGTGACTCCAATTAAGCCTACTTCAATTTAAACGTATTTTGTCGATTTCTGGTTCTGTCCCCAAAAAGTGGAGAAATAATTGCCTACAATTTTTTACATAATAGTTTTGAAAGACAGTTAAGCCTCCACTCAACATTATCATTTTCAGGAAATATAACTTGTTTTGACTCTTCACCTTTCTTCATATGATATGTTTTTTAACCCATTCATCATTTTTTTTGTTTTTGTTTTTGTTTTTTTTTTTGCTGTCATTTGCACAATTTCCTTTGACAACTTCTTTTGCTGGGCCTAAGTAAGCCATGTTCTTTTTCCCAAGTAAGCATCTGATGGGGGCTATCACTGTGTGGTCTGCCATATAGGGAGAAAAAAATTAGATTTCAGTCTTGAGGGAAGTAGGGAATCCAATATGCACATTCCTTCCCTTTTCCAAAGAAGACATGGATTGCTTTTCTTTTCGAACAATAACAATGAACGCCAAACCTCCACTAATACAGATGTGCTTCTTTATTTTTTCCTTTTTTTGTGCAATTTAAAAAAATTTTTTTAAATTTTTTTTCCATACGCTTTTGAGTTGAAAATTTTTTCTCCCTTTTTCTCCCCCCCCCACCCTCCCCAAGACGGCACACAATCTGTCATAGGCTTTACATTTACATACCCATTAAACATATTTTCACATTAGTGAAGTTGTAAGTAAAAATTAAAACCAATAGGAGGAACCATCAGAAAGATGAAACAAAACTCAACTGAAGGTAAAAATAAGTGAGAGCGATTCGGCTTCCATAGTTCTTTCTTTGGATGTGGACAGCATTTTCCATCCCGAGGCCTCTGGAGATGTCTTAGATCCTCATAATGCTGAGAAGGGTTCAGTTTAACATTCTTAGTCATTGCATAACGTGGCTGCTATTGTATACAAAGTCCTCTTGGTTCTGCTCACTTCACTCAGCATCAGACTATATACGTCTTCCCAGGTTTTTCTGAAGTCAGCCTGTTCATTATTTCTTATAGCACAATAGTATTGCATTACATTCATATGCGCCACAACTTGCTCATCCGTTCCCCAATTGATGGGCATCCTCTCAATTTCCAATTCTTTGCCACCACAAAAAGAGCTGCTATGAATATTTTTGTACATGTGGGTCCTTTTCCCATTTGTTTGATCTCTTTGGGATATAGCCCTAGAAGTGCTATTGCTGGATCAAAGGGTATGCACATTTTTGTAGCCCTTTGGGCATAGTTCCAAATTGTTCTCCAAAATGGTTGAATCATTTCACAACTCCACCAACAATGCATTAGTGTTCCTATTTTCCCACATCTTGTCCAACATTTATCATTTTCCTGTTTTGTCATGTTGGCCAATCTGATAGGTGTGATGTGGTGCCTCAGAGTTGTTTTGATTTGCATTTCTCTAATCAATAATGATTTAGAGCATTTTTTCATATGACTATAGATGGCTTTAATTTCTTCATCTGAGAACTGCCTGTTCATATCCTTTGACCATTTATCAATTGGGGAATGGCTTGTGTTCTTATAAATTTGTCTTAATTCTCTATATATTTTAGAAATGAGGCCTTTATCAGAAAGACTGGTTGTAAAAATTCTTTCCCAGTTATCTACCTTCCTTCTAATCTTAGTTGCATTGGCTTTGTTTGTGCAAAAACTTTTCAATTTAATGTAATCAAAATTATCCATTTTGCTTTTCATAATGTTCTCTATCTCCTGTTTGGTCATGAATTCTTCTATTTTTTCCTTTTTAAAAAAATTTTTAAATAAAATTTTGACATCTTTTATTTTTAGATCTCCTACATTTCCAAATTTACTATGTCATCATTGTAAAAAAGAATAAAAGGAAAACAAATTTCATCCAAACCAACCAATATAATGGAAGAGTCTGACATTGTATGCAGTATTCTGTGCCTATGGTGCCACACCTCTGCAAAGAAGTTGGGGAGGCGTCATCTCATATCTCTTTTTTGAGGACAAGTTTGGGCATTATAATTTCATACTATTCAGTTTCTTTTATTTCCTTTACAATTTTTTTTAAAGAATTCTGAAACTAAACACCAAAAAAGAGAATATTTAATATACATAGCAAAACACAAAAAGAACATTGCATATGAAATCGTAAATCTCCACTTTATGCCATTCACTTTAAAAAATCTATAATTTAATACATATTATGTATAATATATAGTAGAAATATAGGGTAATATATTGTGTAGTGTATTTATCTGTATGTATGCATATATATAATTCTAATGCTTTCAAAATTGTCCTGTTTGTCTATGCTTCTTTCTGAACTTCCTTTTCTTCTTTTATGTACATTTTATTTTTTTAAATAATATTTTATTATCTTTTACCAGCTACATATAAAACAATTTTTTAACATTTATTTTTAAAATGTTGGGTTCCAAATTCTCCCCCTCCTTCCTCTCCCTCATCCCTGAGACAGTAAGCAATTTGATATAGGTTATACATGTGTTCTCATGCAAAACATATTTACATATTACTCATTTTGCAAAAGAAAACACAGACCAAAAAAATAATCCACCATAAAAAATAAAGAAAGTGAAATTAGTATGCTTCAATCTGCATTCAGATTCTATCAGTTCTTTCTTTGGATGTAGATAGCATTTTTCATCATGAGTCCTTTGGAATTGTCTTGGATCATTGTATTACTGAGAATAGCAAAGTCATTCATAGTTGATCATCATACAATATTGCTATTCCTGTATACAATATTCTTCTGGTTCTGCTCACTTCCTTTCTTACAAATTTAAATAAAATTTTTACTTTAATAATATTTTTTCCCAATTACGTGTAAAAAGAATTTTAATAATCGTTTTTCTAAAACTTTGAGTTCCAAATTCTCTCTCTCCCTCCCTTCCCTCTATCTTCCCTCCTTGAGACAGTAAGCAATTTGACATAGATTATATATGTGCAGTCATGCAAAACATATTTCCATATTTGTCGAGTTGTGAAAGAAGACACAAACCAGGAAAAAAAACATGAAAAAAATAAAGAAAGTGAAAAATAGTATACTTAGATCTGCATTCAGATTCCATCAATTCTTTCTCTGGATGTAGATAGCATTTTTCATCATTTTTCATCAGTCCTTTGGAATTGTCTTGGATCATTGTATTGCTGAGAAGAGTGAAGTCATTCACAATTAATCATACAGTATTGCTGTTGCTGTATACAGTGTTCTGGTTCTACTCACCTCACTTTGCATCAGTTCATGTAAGTCTTTCCAGGTTTTCTGAAATCTGCCTGCTCGTCATTTCTTATAGCAAAATAGTATTTTATTGCAATCATCTACCACAGTTTATTCAACCATTCCCAATTGATGGGCATCCCCTCAATTCCCAATTCTTGGCCAATACAAAAAGACCTAGTATAAATATTTTTGTACAAATAGGTCTTTTTTCCTTTTTTTTTTAAAATCTCTTTGGGGTACAGACCTAGTGGTGGTATTGCTGGATCAAGGGGTATGCACAATTTATGTGCATATGCACATAAATATTGTGCCTTATGGCATACTTCCAAATTGCTCTCCAGAATGGTTGGATCAGTTCACACTTCCACCAATAGTACATTAGTGTCCCAATTTTCCCACATCCCCTCCAACATTTATCATTTTCCTTTTCTGTCATATTAGCCAATTTATAGATGTATTTCAGAGTTGTTTTAATTTGCATTTCTCTAATCCATAATGATTTAGAGCATTTTTTCATATGACTATAGATAGCTTTGATTTCTTTATCTGGAAACTACCTGTTCATATCCTTTGACCCTTTATCAATTCAAGAATGACTTATATTCTTTTAAATTTGACTTTGTTCTCTACATATTTGAGAAATGAGCCTGTTATCACAGACACTTAACGATAAAATTTTTTTTCCCCCAGCTTTCTGCTTTCCTTCTAATCATGGTTGTCAATATTGGTTTTGTTTGTGCAAAAACTTTTAAGTTTAATATGTTCAAATTATCTATTTTACATTTCATAATGCTTTCTATCTCTTATTTGGTCCTAAATTCTTCCCTTATCCATAGATCTGATAGGTAAACTATTCCATCCTCCCCTAATATAGTATCACCCTTTATGTCTAAATTTTGTGCCCATTTTTGACCTTATCTTGATATATAATGTAAGATGTTGGTCTGTACCCAGGTGGGGAACATGTGGCCCTCTAGGACCTCAAGTGCATCTTTCTGACTGAATCCAGATTTCACAGAACAAATCCCCTTAAAAAAAGGAGTTGTTCTACAAAATTTGGATTCAGTCAAAGGGCTGCACCCAAGAACCAAGAAGGCCACATGTGGCCTTGAGGGTGCAGGTTCCCCACCCCTGAACTCGCTGGACTCTGAGGTTCCTTCTAACTCTGAAATTCTTGGATAGAGTGCTGTACTTGCAGTCTAAAAGATCTGAGTTCAAATCCTGCTTAAGCACTTGCTAATGGTATGACTCTGAGCAAGTCACTTAAACTCTCTATGGCTCAATTTCCTCATCTGTAAAACAGGGATAATAATAGCACCTACCTCTTAGGGTTATTGTAAAGATCAAATGAGATAATAATTATGAAGTGCTTAGCACAGTGCTTGGCACACAGTAAGCCCTATATCAATATTAGCTATTATTATTATTATTGTTGTGATGGTTGTGGTTATTTTTATTGTTCTTATTATTATATCTCCAAAGCACACAGAGCGTGCCTGGACGGAATTGTTAACTTTCCTAGGGACAGTTGTTATGTATTACCTGAGAATTTTGCTGCAGTATAGAAGGCCATACAATTAACATACGTGTTTTTCCTCTTGATTTCAGGGAGTCCAGCTGAAAACGCTTCCCTCAAGCCTGGGGACCGCATCTTATTCCTTAATGGATTGGATATGAGGTCAGAGGCTGTTGATTAAACCAATGTTTCCCAAAGTGATCAGGCTATCCCTGTTTCACTTAGTGATGCCATGATTTATTAATTGTCATTTATCCAGTCTCAAAGTCTTGCTCTTTGTCTTCCATCACTTAAATTCCAGTTTCAGCTATCAGTTTTTCCTTCAGAATGTCTTTTGTATCAGTTCCATTTCCACTGTTACCATTCTAGTCCAGGTTTCCATTTCAAGGCTGGATTACTACAACAGCCTCCCAACTAACCTCTCTGACTCTAGTTTCTCACCTCTCCCATCCATCCTTCATGCTACCACTACATTAATTTTCATAAGGCATTTATTTCATCATGTCACTTTCTCTTGCTTGAGAGACCAAGATGGCTCCCAAATGTACATCACATTAACTCCAAACTTCTCTATCTATCAGAACCCTCTGTAATCTAGCCTCCATTTTCTCATCTTCCACTGCTCCCCAACATGCATTGTGTACTCTAATAAAGCCACCTCACCCAATATCTTTCTCGCCTGCCATGTGCTCCCTCTGCTCTCCCCCTAGAAAAATCCAGTTCATGCTCCAAGACCTTTTCTGACTCAGCCCTCAGTAATTTCCCTTTCTTATGAATTCCTGTAACACTTAGAGGCTATACCACACAATCCAGCACTTAGACAATGTGGTCTTGCATTTGCTAATTATTTCATGTGCATTATTTTCTAAACTACATTATAAAGTTCCTGAAAAGAGAGGGTTGTAGAGAGGTTTTGTATCCTCCATAGTGTTTAGTACAGGGTTGACTGAACAATTATCTTCAAATTGACCTCAACAGGGAAGGTGGGTAGACAGTCTTCTCAATTTGGCATTTCTCTAGTTTGAAAAATAGTAAATGTTGATATAGGCATTGACAGATGTCTGTTTGGACTATTGGGCACAGGAGTAGGTAAGGGTGAGGATTGTTAGATAAATCACCACCCTATTGTCCAGCAATCTTGGAGCAATGAAATCGTGAGTCTATGAAAGTCTCATGGCATTGCACAACTCAAATGACATAATAGAATATTCTGATAGGCCTTGGGAAGTCTGAAAGGTCTTTTTCTATTCATCACCCATTTAAATCTGTACCAAATTGGCTCCAGAGGTCATGTTTGGTGAATGGTTTTTTTTTTCATTCCTATCAACTGGGCCATCCAATCAGATATTGAGGTAAGGAATTTTGGTCCTAGATGGTGGTGGCATTCAAGGTCCTACAGTTATAGAAGAGCCTTAATTCCCCACTTTTATTTTTAACAGATCACACCATGGCCAAAGATGTTGAGAGCTCCCTGAACCCTTTCTTCTGATATATTACCAAGAAACGCTATCTCTGATCTCAGGAATAAATAATTCTGGATGTCTGAGATTGGGGTTCTCAGATATAGGTTAATCTTATAAGTGAATAGCTTATATAGAGGCATCTATATAAGTCCTGGTACTAGGCTGAGAACTATGGCTGGACATGACATGCAACTTTTCTAGTCAATGCATCTAGACATAGGACCAAAAATAAATGACTTTCTCAAGTTACACATGATAGGTGGGTTATATCACTCACTTCATTCATTCATTCATACATATAAGCATGCCAGCTACTCTGCTAGGCATGGAGGACACAGAAGTTAAAAATGAAACAGACCCTGTCCTCAAGGAGCTTACATTTCATTGAAGAAAAAGCATATGTGCACAGAAGATTACTAGAAAATGTATACAAAATAAATACAAAGTAATTTGGAGGCACTCTAGCAAGTAGGGAGCTCGGTGTAGGCTTCTTGTAGGAGGTAGCACTTGGGCTAAGCTCTAAGGGAAGCCAGAGAGTCTTTGAGACAGAAGAGGGGAGGGGCAGCATTCCAGGCATGGGAGACAGCTATTGCAAAGACACAGGGACAAGAGGTGGAGGTGTCATGGATAGGGAACGGTAACAAGGCCACTTTGGCTGGACCATAGAGTGTGCGAAGGGGAATAATGAATAATAAGTCCGGAAGGTTGGGCCAGATTGTAAAGAGTTTTAAATAAGAGAGGTGTTTGCATTTGATCGTGGAGGTAATAGGGAACCTCGAGAGTTTATTGAGTAGGGAAGTGGTGTGGTGGCTTTTGGAAAATCACTTTGGCTACTGTGTGAAGGATGGATTGGAAAGGAGAGAGACTTGCAGCAGGGAGATCAGTTAGGAGGCCATTTCAATGCTCCATTTGAGAAGCAGGATGTCCCCATCAACTAGCACAGTACCTGGCACACAGTGGGCAATTAATAAATGCTGATTGATTGAGGTTTTGAACTAGGGTGGTGGCCAAGTGAGTAGAGAGAAGAGGATATGTGCAAGAGGTGTTATGGAAGTAAAAATCAATCAGACTTGGGACAGAGCGAGGAATTGAAGATGTCCCCAAGGTTGGGGTGGGTATGGGATGGGAAGATGAGTTCAGTTTTGAGCTTATTGAGTTGGAGATTTCTGTTGGACTTCTTGGTAGGTCTGGACATACCGAGGGTATGCAGGACTGCAGTTCACAAGAGACTGAGTGTGGATGCATAGATATATAGACATTTGTGTGAAAATGAAAATTAAGCACTTGAGAGCTGATGACAAGGGGAAAGAGAAAAGCAGAGAGAGACTGGCTACTGACACTGGGGCAGAGTGGGATTAGCTAGGTTGTGGTGTCAAAGGTAAACATCCCTGTAGGATTGGTCATAGCTACCACACACTGGTGCCAGGACACAGGGGCCCTCTGACTTCTCTGGGAGAGACTTCTTGGTAATGGAGACAAGGCCTCATCTAGAGAGAACGAGTAGCATTCTCTCTACATGTTGCACAAAAGTGAGAAGAGAAGTAACACTTCTGTGGTGTGAGGAAAAGTGATCAGAGGCATTGGGGTCAGTCTGGGAAGCAGAGAGATATAGCCAGGATTGAGTTTCCCTGAGATTTTGCCAGTCAGTGTCTCCCATTTCACATCTGCTGCCTCTAACTCCACAAGTGACATGGGGTGGATATAAGGCAATTTTCTCCTTCACTTTTGCAGGAACTGCTCTCATGACAAGGTGGTGTCCATGTTGCAGGGCAGTGGGGCAATGCCAACTCTTGTGGTCGAAGAAGGATTGGTCCCATTCCCCAGTGGTAAGATTCTTCTCTCTTGCCCTCTATGAAGGAATGCTCAGTATTGCTTCCCAAAGTGATCAAGCTATTGATTGACTATGGAGATGGGAATTACATAAATGACAGTATATAATTTGGAGGTTATTAACTTAGTATCACCTTCACGAACATCCTTATTATGGAATGGAGGTGGTCCCAGGGCTCTCTATGCCAGTGAAGGATAAATTCTCCTAAGGCTTACCAAGCTGGAAAGGTTTCCAGCAGGGGTGCTATGTGCCTATTGAGGGAGGACCAGCCCAGCTAATAATAATAATAATAATAAAAATAATAATAATAATAATAATAATAATGACAATAGTAGTTGACATTTATATAGCACTTTAAGGCTTGAAGACTACTTTTTATAAATTATCTTATTTAATTCTTACAAAAACTGTGGGAGGTAGGTATTATTATTATCCCCATTATTCAGATAAGTAAACTGAGGCACAGAGAAGTTGCCCAGGATCACACAGCTAAGAAAAATCTGAAGTCAAATTTGAACTCAGAATTTCCTGACTTTAAGTCCAGAGCTCTGTTGGCTATAACCAAAAAGTCTGACTCCATAGAAATAATTTTTCTTTGTCCACTGAACTCATCTTCTAAGGTGAAGAGGGGTTGAGATTGGTCAGCAAAAGTTGTGCTCAGCACAGATGAAATCACAGATCTTTAAAATAAAATTAACAAAATCCCTTATGTCAAAATGTAACCTACTCTTCTCCCAGACTAGTCTCCAGAGACTCTTTTTTTTCCCTACCACAATTCATTTCCTTCTTCCCTGCTTTCGTCTGCCCTGTAATGTCAGGCTGATCCTGTTTGAGGAAGTAGCTAAGCTGACTTTATACAGACTAGTGCATCTAGCATAGACTATGACATCCCCCTCATTCTTCTCCCTCCCTCCATCCTACCTCCATCTCCCTTATGCACCAGGGGAAGAAACCATGGCGCTTTATCTGGGTCTCTCTGGTTGGAAGGAATTTTAGAATACTAGTCTGCAAAGTGGGTTCCCTTTTCTCCTCTCCCTACCCCATTCTGGGGAAGAGGGGACTAACCTAACCCCAAAGGGTTTGTAATCTCCTAATTTTAATTAAATTCCCTGTCTGTTGCTGAGATGCACATTCACCAGAGTGAGGAAGGTCAAACCTTAAGCTACTTTATCTATGTAATACCTGAGCTGCAGTGAATTGACAACCAGCATAGAGCAGGAATCAAGTACCTGGAAAGCAGCAAGAAAGTCTTAGGAGGAAAAGGAGAGAGGTAGGAGAGCATTAAAGACCCTGACTTCCCACTTTCACTGAGGACCAACTCTCTTTTCAAGGAGTAGGAGAGATACCCACTTTCTTGTACTGGTCATCCTCCGTGACTGGAATGTAATCCATTTTTACTCTCTCTTATATAGTCCTTCTCTTCCATTAAGACGCCAATTTATTTATGCTATATATTTTATATGTACTTGTGGTCTCCTCCTGCTCCCCTTTATTGTTTCATTCTTTGTACACATATCTCCAGAGCCTAGTGCATATTGGCACTTCTTAAATGGTTAATTGATTGGGACTAGGGGGCTCTCTTCCTGGCCCCTTCTTCCTCTGACCAAGCCAGCAGGCTGCTTTTAACCTGGGCATGGGAGATCTAAGGGGATTGTCAGGAGGGCCCTTTGTTTCCCTGGCCCCTAGAGCAATAATAACAGGCAAGTCCTGGATGGGAAAAAAAAATGCCATTTGCTTCTTAACACATGCCCATTTTTTGTTTCCTTGTATATGCTCAGACTCAGATTCTCTGGATTCTCCCAACCCTTCCTCAGCACTGACTTCCCTGCAGTGGGTGGCAGAGATCTTGCCTGGAAGCATTCGAATCCAGGGCAAAACCTTCAGCCAGCAGTTGGAGCACTTGCTGACCCCTTCAGAACGCTATACCATCTGCAGAGCCCTGGAATGCTTCTTCCAACACAGGTAGTCCTGCCCTCAATCTGCTGCCTCTTTGGGACCTGGTGGGCGGGCTTGGGAGGGAGGAGAGGAGGCAGCATGTGAATATCCATTTCTTTCCCTGACCCTAGTGGTCAGTGTCCTCACAAAGTTCTTTTGTTGGAGACCTAGTGGCTGCTCTGGCTGCTGATTCTAGAGAACACCAGACGGAAGCCAGAGCCTCATCCTCCCTCTTCCCTTTCAGTGCATCTTGGAGATCTCCACTGAGGGGGAGCAGTCCTTTGGAACCATAGACAAGATCCCTAGAATTCATGGAATCAGGATGTCAGAGCTGGGAGGGCCCCTCAGCAGAGAATGTCAAGGCCAAGGCCAAAGGGACTTTCAAACATACGATGTAACAAAAGCTGATGCACACATCCCAACGTAAGACTTACGAAGCGCTTTACATACATTTTCTCATTTGAACCTCACAACTCTGTAAGTTAGATACCACAATGATTATTATCCCCATTTTACAGATCAAGAAACGGGTTTTGGGCCCATGGGCACACAGTGATTAAGTGTCAGAAGCCAGATTTGGACACAGGTCTTTCTGACTCCAAGCCTGGTGCGCTTTCCACTATCTATCCTTGCCATTGCTGCTGACAGTTAGTAGCAGCCTCAGAGAAAGTTATGGCTTGAAGAGGCCTTTATAACCTAGAGATCCAAATGTTAGATGGAGCTGGAAGTCCAAGTGCTTATTTTACAGAGGACAAAACCGAGGCCCAAGAAGCAAAGTGACTTGTCCAGAGTCATGGACAAATTCATGAGGGGTCCAAGACCAGAACTCAGAACTCCTGGTTACTGAGTTCAGTGTTTTGTTTGTTTGGGTTTTTTTATTGTTCCGTTCTGAGAAAAATACTTAGAGTTCAAATCTGGCCTCAGACACTTACTAGCTGTGTGACCCTGAACTTAACCTCTGTGTGCCTCAGTTTTCTCAACTTTATAATGAGGTTAATAATAGTACCTACCTTGAAGGGTTGTTGTGAGGATCAAATGAAATGTTTGTAAAAGTGCTTAGCACAGGGCCTGGCTCCTTCCCCTAATTTCAGCAGGCATCAAAGCTCATTAACTAGGAGGGTCTATTAGGATGTTAAAAATTCCTTCCTGTTCTTCAAGCAGGAGTCTTCATATTTTACTGAAGCTTCTCCATCTCTCTAATTTTTCTCTTTTCCTCTGGAATCTTTCTTACTATTTACTTCAGGATACAACATAGAGCATGCCTCCCTATTGGCTCTAGCATATGAAGTCCACTTGCCTGTATATATACCTTACATATCCACGTCTGGAATCCCAGAAACATCTCACGTTCCCAGAGTTTACTAGAAGCTGAGGGATGTCCCTTTTCCAACTTATTTCTTTCCTATTAGGTTTTCCCAGGGCTCTTCCAAGCTGAAAGTAGCCTGTGCATATTAAGACTTGCGCAGATGCAGGCTCGAGTGGCCACATCCCTCACTATAAGGTAGTAGTTGTCTGTAGAGGGAAAACATACACAGGTGCAAAGGGAATGGTGATCAGTAGTGTGGGGTCAGTTACCTGCCTTTAACCCTTTAGTGTAGTGATTACAGTCAGGGTCTCACAGATTCTGGTGATAGACCAGTTGCTTGGTTATGAAGAGACTGAACTTGGAATGCCATTAGGATGCTTTGGGGGAATAACACTGGGACCAGGTCCAAGACTCAGTATAACTTCTGTACCCATAAGAGCACTAGAGCCTCATCCATTTCTTGCCTCTTGTGTGAACTGCATGACTTTTTTTTTATTCCTGTCTATGGGATCTGAATCCTGCTGGTTAGTCTTACCTGTTTGTGTCCTGGAAGAATAATTGTCCCTTGGGGAGCTTTCATGGATCTTATCTGTCTATAGATCATGGGAATGAGCTAGAAAACATGACATGAACTATAGAGGAATTGTCTATGATGATAAGGAAGTTACTGCATACCTGTGAGTACCTTTGAATGGTCCTCCTTTCCCCATAACTAGAGAACAGTCTCTAGGATAAGGAAGGGACACTTGTAAGAAAAGCTCTGTGGAAGAGGATTTTGCACCAATCCAGTCTATGGGGGCTCCAAGTCTATCCTCTCTCTGAAAATATGTTCTCCAAAGAGCAGACCAGGGCATCAGGCTGTATCTTCCAGGTCGGGGATGGCTAGACAGGTATGAGGAAACATATAACTTCTATTGTCCTCTCACCCCAGGTCATAGCTGGGCTCCCTTTCAAGTCTCTTTCAGTCCCATTTGCAGAACTATGACTGCCTCTCTGTAACAGGAACATTGATACCCTCATTGTGGACATCTACCCTGTGCTGGACACTCCAGCCAAACACGTCCTGTGGCAGTTCATCTACCAGTTGCTGACCTATGAGGAGCAGGAACATTGCCAGCAGAAGATCGCTCGGTTTCTGGGCTACAAGTCTATGACAGGTGAGCAGCAAAATTCCGAATCCATAACTGACTCTAATCCTTTTTACTTGGAGGGAATATTTCTGTATAAAAGAATGTGAAAGCTAGGCTATCCAAGGCTAGGTTATCCCTTGGGGTGTGAAGGATTCTGAATATGAAATGCTCACACCTAGCACTTTCCAAAGGAAGATACTGTAGAGGCTTGCCAATACCATATGGGCACATGGTCTCCTACTAGAGATCCTGGGGTGGCATCAGCCATTGATCTGGGGTATGGAGCCAAGGTAGGGTTGAACTGAGGAGAATCTCAACAGGGGCTGGGTAGACAGGGTTTGGGAAGGAAATGTGCTAAGCTCCACTGTTTCCATACTGTGAAAGGACTATAAATGCTTCTAGCACCTTCTAAATTTGACTCCCTTGAGCAAAGCCTCAGTCACCCCACCCTCGTAGGGCTCCAGGAGAAATTATCCTTCTTGCACACTTTGGGAGCAAGAGTAAAGACTTATTAGGTAATATAGTCATGATCTTGTATGTTTCCCTGGTGGATAAAATGATGAGGTAATGAATTATGTGCAGGGTAGAGTCATAGCTGTTGGTTCTGAGGGCTTGCCCCAAAGTAAATACGAATGAAGCCAGAAGTGGCACACATGCCAGGGTGTTCCTGAAGAAAAACAGTTGTGCTGCACACATCTGAGGTTTTTTCCCTGGCAAGTATGACTAACTTCTGCTTAATCCAGTAAACTTTGAATTAACCTTTCATAGCCCACTTTAAATTTTTTCCCCAAAGTAAACAAAAACCATCTAAAATCTACTGATCAAAGAGGACTAGGGAAGAAGAGAGTGTCTGCCCTAGGACAGGACCTGGTAGCCAGAGGTATGAGTATGCAGCCAAAGGTAGAAGTATCCAAGAATTGAGATACTTAACTTAGTCATGGAAGGCAAAGTAGCATAGAAGGAGTAGTGAGATACTTGAATGGTACCATTCACTGCAAGAATTAGGGATTTCAACTCTGTACTCCTGTCCCGTGCCACAGGTAATGTAGCTCCCTCCTTCACAGCCTCAGGAAACAGTTTCCATCTTCAGAACACTGAAGTACCAGTAGCGTCCCATCCCATGATGTATGCTAAATTCAAACATCAGGTTGGGTCATTCTTGGGAGAGCTCTAACAGGAAAAGGCATAAATTGGGGCTCCAGAGACTTATTGGTCTTTCCTACTGTTGTCCAGTCACGTCAAACTCTTCACAACCCCATGGACCATAGCACACCAGTGCTTTTGGGGTTTTCATGGCAAGAATACTGGAGTGGTTTGCCATTTCCTTCTCCAGTGGATTAAGGCAAACAGAGATTGACTTGCCCAGGGTCATACAGTCTGAGACTGGATTAAACTCAGGTCCTCCTGATTGCAGGCCTAGTGCTCTATCCACTGCACGACCTAGCTGCCTCCTTACCCCACAAAGGCATTCATTTGGAGAGAACTGCTACTAGCATTTGCTGCTAAGTCAGCAGCCACACGAAAAAATTAAAGATAACTCACATGCAAAACGTATATTTGAAGCCAAGATTATTGAAATGAAATTATGAGATACCTTTGACTAGTCTTTGGTCTCACGTAGGAACCCAGCTTCTGAGGTATCCCAGCTTGCTTCCTGTGCGGGGGTGGGGCAAGGGTCCTTTGGCTTTGGGCCCACTACTGAGCCTACCATGTAAGTGCAAAGTTCACAGCAGCCCACAGGTGAAGAGTTGTTTTCCCCATACATGCAGAAAGTTATCTTTCTTCCTTATATGGAATTTGAAGTTTCCCTTAGTTTTCCCTGCTTTTGGGATCTGTGTCGCATGGGGATCATGCAATCAGAAGCTAGTCTTAAAATTTAATAATAGTCTTTGGGTCTAGATCTGTTTTAAAAAAAAAACGCCTTCCTAATTGCTGAACTTTTTAGAGGGGTAATTTATCTATGATCTCATTGTTTGTCAGATAAGGGGGGCAGGCAACGACCAGAAAGATTAAGCTTAAGAAATCAGTTTCAGTGTTGGAAAGGGTTGGAACCACGAGGGAATTGTTAATAAAAACCAAAATCTAATGAAGTACAGACTTACATATTATCTCTCTTCTAACATAAGGTTTTTCTGTCCAAAATCATGCAAAGCACAAAGTATTTGTAAAAGGGCAGGGAACAAAAAATTCATCTGGACAATACTTAGATTCTCTGCTATTGACTTTTAGTGTAATTCCGGTCCCAAAGGCTGTTGGTATCACCAACTCCACTCTGCCCCTCATGCAGGCCAGGATGTTGATCTCCCCATACCAATGGGCTTTCAGACTAGAGTTACATTCGTAAAACAATTTTTCTAAGCAAGAGCAATCATTGTTTTGCCTCCTTTGTGCTTTGGATTTATGCTAGTTTAACAAAAAGCATAGAAAGATCTCTTTAACAAGAGAAACCAGGCTTAAGGGTTTTTAGTTTAGTTTAGTTTTTCTCATTAGGGACCTGGTTCATTCTTATTGCTTAGTAAACAGGAGAAAAAGAAAAAGCCACCTCTTAATCAAAAGTGAAATTATATATGTACATATCTATGTATAACTATATATATAAAATATACATATATCTATACCTATGTCTATATATATATGTGTGTGTGTGTAGCACCATTCTCAAATGGTAAAAGCTAGGATAATGCATGTATGTACTTGGACAAATATTCTTGTGTTCTAATTAAGACTGTATGGCACAATGGAGGAAATGGTGGATTTAGATTCAGAGGAGCTGGGTTCAAATTTGGCATTAGAAGGGCTTAATACCTGGTAAGCTTGGACAAGCCATTTGATGTATGAGGTGTGGTGGGGTGCAGTTGATATCAAATGCGAATTAGAAACCATAATAAGGATCCCTGTCAGCAGCATATTGACTTAGAAAGCCTAATATTAACATTATCTATGTTCGATTGTATTTTTATTTTATTTTGTTAAATATTTCCTATTTTAATATGATTCTTGCCACCTATTTGACACCCCTTAGGACAGAGCATTTGACTTAGAGTTAGTACACCTGGGTTTGAATTCTGTCTCTGATACGTACTAGTTGTGTGACTGCAGGCAAATCACTCAGCATATCTGGGCCTTAGTTTCCTCAAATGTAAAATGAAGGGATTGGATCTCTTAGGTCTCTTTCAAGCCAGAATCTATCATCCTATGGTCCAATGATCTCTCTGGGCCTCACTGTCATCTATAAAATGGGAGGGTTGCCCCTAGATGGCTTCTGAGGTCTCTTCCAGCTGTGTGTTTATGATGCTATAAGCTCATATTTTCAAAATGAAAACAGCCCCTTCTTCTCAGTTACTGTCTTTGAAAGAGCAAAGAGAGATCATTAAACTACTCTTTGACTGCTTTTTTCAGAGACAAGGAAATCTATTCCCTCAAGGTTATTAAACAACTGAAAATTTAATATGAAAGAAGAGAAAAGAAAGTCAACCTGCAGTTTTCAATGCTACTTTTAAGAAAGACCTGGTGGTTCCAACTTTTGAGTAAAATGGATTATTTTGAGAGCGTATCTGATAATCTACAACTGTTTTTGAGCCCCTGAATGCAAATCTCAACCTCTCTCCAGGGTTAAGAATTTAGAACCATATAAAACAAATTACACAAAGTTCATTTTAATGCTTCGTATGTGGGAATTTGTTGTAACTATCAGGTAAACATAAAAGTTAACCAAAAGCTGGAAAAGGCCAGCAACCATAGGGGTTTATTATATATTGACAGTGCTTTTAGAGATTCTTATAAATATGAATGAGAAGTCCACTGGTTTGGAACATTGCTCAAGATGTCAGATTTTTTCATTGTGTTAATTGGCTTTAGTCAATTTTTTTCTTTTCCTCTTTTATCAAAAATTTTCTTTTTTGTTGTAAGTCTCTCTTGGAGGGGATACCAGCACAAATATAGTTAATATGAAAAACAAAAGAAAGCAATAAAAATATAGTTCAAAAAAGGGAATGGGAGGATGTTGCTTGGATACTGGAGTCAAAGCAACATTAATTTGGGGAGATCAGCTTTTGCCAAATGAAATTATTCTGGAGGGAAAATATGGATTCAGGTGGTAGGACAGAAATCATTTGAAATGTTCCAAAGCTGAATTTTTAATTGAGGGGACAAGACAGAAGCAATAGTATGATGTGATTGTAAATAAAAGCCAGAGATCACTAATATTTTCAGAGGTGAAGTTGTTAGACTTCATGTCCTTCAGACTCTGTTTCCGGTGAACACAATAAAGCTATCAGTCAGTCAATAAACATTTATTAAACACCTACTATTTGCCAGTAACTATGCTAAGCACTGGGGGTATAAATCCTAAAAAAAGAAAGAGTTCCTGCCCTCAAAGAGCTTACAATCAAATGAGGGAAGACAGCACAAAAAGAAGCTGGACTGTGTCTGGGGGGAGGGGATAGGAAAGGTACTATTACTAGACAGCCTAGTGGAAAAGTCAGATAAGTTCCAAAGTAGTAAATCAAGGTAAATATTAGGAGGTGTTCTGAGCCGAGCTCCCTCCACAAATGGGGGTTGGGGAGTTCATGGCTCCATTCTCCAATCAGAAGAACAGAGGGTGGTGCTGATGTAGAGTACTGAGGCTGTTGGATCTAGAAGGATGATGAGATTTTCCCAATATTGACCTTCTTGCTAAGATAAGAAATGAGGAAGATGGAGGAACCAGCATAGTCCCCTTTCTCTGGAGGGACATGGAGCAGATCCACTTTCTTGGACTCTGCCCTCAATAGGCAGCTCTGAAGGGGTAGACATAATATCCATCTAGAGCTGAAAGGCACCTACCTTAAAAGTCATCTCATCCATCCCCCCATTTTAAAGATCAGGAGACTGAGGCCCAGTGAGCTTCAGTCACTTGTCCAGTCTCCTGAGAGAAAGCTGGAACTTTGCAGCTGCCATTGTAGTCTTAAAACCTGATGATGATATGCCCTTGTGTGTTGAATTTGGGATTCATCCTTATTGGTAGCCTGTGAATTCTGTCAACTTATACTATGTGCCTCATTTTCTATATTTTTTGGGCAAATTTTTGTATGGTTTCTTTAAATCCATCGGTCAGATTCTTTTCTCAAAGTTTTGAGAAGATTGATAATTCTTAAGTTTTCTTTCTTTGTTTCTTCCTCTAAATTTATAGTTTTGTCTGCTAAAATTCAAATCATCTTCTAGTAGAGTGATTTCCATTTTTCTTCTTACTTGTTTTCTACTATTCTCTCCTCCATCAAAAAATTGTATTTTTCATTGAGTGTTATTAGCTTATATTTTCCAATAATATTTCTAAATGTTTGTTTTGTTACCATCTTATCCTGAGATTTATCACTCAGTTTATTTCATCTTGTGTGTGTGTGTTTTTTGGCTAACTTAATTTTTCTTTTGATTCTACCCTTTTTATCCACTTTGTGTTAAAAATTCTGTTTTCTCATGCTTACTTTCATGCTGTTTGAATATATTTTTCATGTGACATTACAGTTTATAATATTTTTATCCTATTAGAATTCTTTTATTTGTTCATTCATTTGAGATTTTTTCTCTAAAAACAGTTTTCTTTTAGCCTTCCTAACTTTGCTTTTACAGAACTGTGTCACTATTTTGTATTCATCCTTAGCTCCCTGCAGTTGCTTTCATCTTTTATACATATTATGAAATCGAAGTTAATCTCCAATTTCCTTATGTATTTACATTTTTCTTTAGACAACTCTTCTTTTTTCCCCTTCATTGGAATAGTTTATGTCTTCAGATTTTCATTCCTGTAAGAGCTTCCAATCACTTTTAGTCTAATTTTCCTTGTAGATTTTTTGAATGCTTTGCAATTGACTCTCCCTAAATTTAGAGTGTATACATCAAACTATACTCAGCTTTCCTCTCTTTATCCTGAAATCTAAGATGTCACTTTGCCTATTATCTTGTTTTATTGGTTTTTATGGAATGTTTTTATTTTTATAAAATTAAATGCATCTACCTTGTCTCTTCAAATTTTTTTCCATTTGTTTGATAACAAGAATTTCTCTCCTGCCCCACAATGTGTGTGTATTTGTTCTGGGAAGCTTCTGTTAAAGGGTTTCTGTAGGAATACCTATTTTTTCCTACCTCAGAGCCCAATCATACAAATTGCAGCTCTTCTCTTCAAGTCAATTATTAATCAACACCTGGTATTGTGGTGCTCTCAGATCTATGCCTCCAAGCCAGGTGAGGCCGCTAGACAGGCACAGTAGATAGATCACTAGTCTTAGAGTTAGGAAGACCTGAGTTCAAATTCTGCCTCAGATGATTACTTCACTGTCTGACCCTGAGCAAATCATTTAACCTCTCAGCCTCAGTTTCCTAATCTGTAAAATGAGAGGGTTGGACATCAAGACGGTCCCTTCCAGCCCTAAAAGCTATTTTTCAGATCTGCCATTAAGGCAGGGGTAAATAGTATTACTGGCACGTCAGGCCAGATAACCAGAGTCACTACACTAGAAATATAGGTCATGAAGGTCTCTGGCTGACACAGTAACCAGATTTCTCTTCTCTAAGGCCTAACTCTGTTCTCCTGACCCTGGGACCATCAGTGTCCACCAGCCAACCAAATGTCCTCTAAGGCTCTACACCTATGGTACAGGCCATGGTATGCTTCTCTTTACTAACCCCAGGGAATTCCATTGGCATCTGGCCCTCTAGTACAGGAACTCACAGATACCTAAAGAAGCCTTTGGGTAGGTAAGAAAAAATGAGGAATAAACCACTTCAGGTCAGTAGGAAATATATGCTTCCCAGAACACATCTGGCTTTCTGCCACTGCTCCTTCCATGCACTGTCATGACTGACCAAATGTACTCTGCTCCATGCTCAATCTCTTCTGTGTTTTGGAGGAAGCAACCAATGTAGGCTTGGCACATAGTAAGTATTTAATAAATGTCTGTACAAACAAAATATATATAGGATAAATTAGAGACAATCAAAAGAAAGTATTAACCCCTGTTAGTAAGGGGCTTCCTTCTTGGACCTTACTGTTCTGTGACTCCATGATGCACAACACTGCACAGTATCTGTTGATATCTTAGCCACTTACTAGACCATAAGGTCCTTGATAGTCTGAGACCATCTCTTACCTCAACTTTCTATCTACCTCAGCACCTAGCATGTTACTCTTTACATGCTTAATAAATGTCTCTTGTATTATAATACTGAGCACCCACTCCTTTAGGCCAGAAGGCCATCAAAGTGGGAACGTTCTGTTCAGAGGCACCTTTGATCACCTGATGTCAGGGTGACCCACCTGGACTAAAGGAAATGGATGAAAAATAGGGTAGGAGGCCATTGATCTAAGGAGCCACCAGCGTTTACAGACCGCAGGACTCAGCTATTCCAAAACTCTTAGTAGCATCTTTGAGACCTTGAGGACCAGTAAATCAGTCAGTAGGCATTTATTAAGCACTAACTGTGTGCCAGGCCTAAATTGAAAAAGTCTTTGGGCAAAAGGATGAAGGAATGCCAAGGAAAGACTTTGAACTGGGGTGGGATAGCAGGGAGCTGGATCAAGATACTGAAAGATCAGACGGCCCTGGGCCTTGGGCCTGCTGGAGCTATGTCAGTCTCCCAAGGCACCAACTCTTCTTCTTGTACTTAATCCTTGGCATTGGGCTGAGGAAGCCATGGGACTGACCTTTCATCACCATCTAAACTTGGTGTTGTTGAGTCCGTTAAGTCCTGTCTGACTCTTCATGGCCTCGTTTTGGGGTTTTCTTGACAAAGACACGGGAGTGGTTTGCTATTCCCTTCTCCAGCTCACTTTACGGAAATGGAGGAAATGGAGGTTAAGTGACTTGTCCAGGGTCATGCAGCTAGTAAATATCTGAGACAGGATTTGAACTTATGAAGAGAAGGTTTCCTGATTTCAAGCCCAGTGCTCTATCCACTGTGCCACCTAGCTGCTCTATCTAAACTTGTCCCCAAACCCTAATCATTTCTTTTCTTTCCTTGACTCTTGTCACTGTGTCTATGTGTATGTATGCACACATATGTATATACAGATAAATATATGTTTGTTTATATTTATTTTTTTTAACCAGCAGGGGTTATCAATAACCTGATCCCATTCACAATAAAAAGCAAGCAATGGTTTGACCATTGTCCCACATACAGCCTAGCAGTTGTGTAATCCGCCTAACACCAGAGGGTGCTCAAGGTAGTGGCAAAGTTTTCCTTTGCTGTCAGAGAACTGCCTCTGTCTTCTAGCCCCTATGTCTTTGTGAGAGTTAGCTGTTCACCTTATTAGAGCTACAGTTCTGAAAGTGTGGTCTGAGACCCTTGGAAGTGTCAAATATCCTCTCATGGGGTCCACAAGGTCAAAACTGTTTTCAGAATACCAAGATGTTTTAATTTCTAATATGATAAATATCGATAGATATGACTCACATAAACACAAGCTCTTTGGAGGAGGAAAGGAGTGGGTCCTAAATAATTTTGAAAAGTGTTAAGGGGTCCTGAGACCAAAAAACTTGAGAACCGCCGTTCTAGAGAGTGTATGATTAATGTGGATATATCCAGTCAGAATCTTAACTCACAACGCCACCCCATCCCCCAACCAGGAAAACTCTGCCCTTTATCCTGGTCATCAGTATCGCAATGAATCCAAATCATGTGACCAACACATTAGACATAATAGCCTAATGGATAGAATGCCTGACTAATTGTCAAGAAACCTGGGTTCTGGCCCTGGCTGTGCCATTAATTTGCTGTATGACCTTGGGCAACTCTCTTCCCTTCTCTTCCCTCAGTTTCCTCATCTGTAAAATGAGGGGTTTGGACTATATGACTTTCAAGGTCTTATCTAATGCTAAAGTTCTAATTCTATGATGCCTGAAAGATCGGTCACCCAAAATAACATTTTACTAATATATATTTATACATAGAAGAGAAGGGACAGGAAGTGTTGATGAGTGGAATCACGGGGTAATAATCGTGGGCACCCTCTTTCCAGAAACAATGGCAGTCTTGATTTGTTTACCATTCCCAGAACAAGGGGCGGAAGTGGAGAGGGTGTGTGTGTGTGTGTGTGTGTGTGTGTGTGTGTAAGCGTGTGTATAAGGCATGCCAGTTAGATGACCAGGTGACTGGGGCCACCTAGATTCTCAGTGTTTTCTCACCAAGAGAACGACATGGCCCCAGTATAGAAGCAGGAGGTCCAGTTGGGAACATTATGACCAAATAATGTATGCCCTGGATTGAGACGACTCTGAACATCCAGCTAAGGTCTCCCTGGGGCAGGTGGTCACTTCAGAGGGACAATAATCATGACTGTAACCTTTTTTACAGCTGCATCAGAGAGCGAGACAGAAGAGAGACCTCAGAGTTCCCTGCGGGTGGCCTCCGTATGCCGGGGGAGTATGAGAAATCAGGGTTCAGAGGGAGCCAGCAGTGGAGGTAAGGAGGTATAAGGCACCTTATTTTTGGACAAGGGAGAAATGAGACATTTGGGTCTCCAGACTCTTTAGTAGGTCCCTCCCCCTCCTTGCTTTTCCCTCTTGCTGCTGCTATAACAAACATTTTAATGCCAAGAGCAGCTCAGCAGTGGAGGTGTTTAGGACGATAGTATGAGAACTAGAAGCCGAAGGCTGGAGAGAGACAGTGTGACAGCCAGCAGAGTCGAGAGCCCAGGCCTGAAGGATCTGAGCAGAGCAGGGCATGACTGGGCTAGATCTTAGTACTTAAGGAAGCGGGTGGGTGAAGAGAAGCCCTTCCCCCTCACTTGTTCCTCCCATTGCCTGGCACTGTGGGACCGCCAGCTTGGAACAGATAAACAAGTTATTCATCACTGTTCTTTGGTCACTGAAGTATGATGGGAAACCTGGCACAGAATCTGTGGCTGTCTAAACCGCCCCCCTCCCCTTCCTTCTCCCTCCCCCAACTCCTTCTAAAGGACCCAACTGTTAGGCATGATGAAAGGAAAACTAGACTGCTATAAGAAGGCCTGGGCTTTAGCCCTGCTTCTGCCATTACTTTGCTGTGTGACCTTGGGCAAGTCACTTCCCTTCCAGTTTTGTCCTCTGCAAAATGAGGGTTTTGGCCTTTGTGACCTCCAAGCTCTCATCTAGCTCTAAAGTTCTGATTCAGTGATCTCTGAAAGAAACAGTGACTCCTGTCTTGAAGGAGGGGCAGTTGGCATGATGCAAGGGGGTTGCAGGGGAGAAAAGGAGGCAGCTAGGTTGTGCAGTGGCCAGAGCCCTGGACATGGAGTCAAAAGGACCTGGCTTAATATCTGGCTCTTAATATGTATGTATATTATGTATAATACTTGATATGAGGGAGCCCTGGGGCTAAACTTTCATCATTATCTAAACTTCTTGTTATTGAGTCCTTTAAATCCTGTCTGACTTTTCATGACCTCTGTTTAACTCTGTTCAAGTCACTTAACCTCTGCCTCTGTTTCCTTCTCTGCAAAATGGAGATAGTAACAGCACCTACCTTTCTAGGTTGTTTTGAGGCCCAAATGAGATAATATTTGTAAAGCGCTTTGTAAACCTTAAAGTGCTATATAAATGATAGCTATTTTGATGATTAACCTTCTCTCTGATTTTTTTTCCTACCAGCGGAATTAGGGAAAATCTGGGAAAATTTGGGGTGTTTCCCAGAAATTTCTCTATCCCGTGGGATTATTTCCTGGATGCTATCTGTTCAGTCTTAAAATTAAGCCTAACGTAGCCACAGTCATCATTAGCCATATTCCTTGTCTCACCTACTTTTTTCCACCTTGCCTAGGCCCCACAAAGTTGCTCAAATTCCCTTAGACTCAATTGTTAATCCTATTGCCTAGGTGTTTGGATAACCACAAATCCTAGTGCCATGTCTTATACTCAAAGCCTCTTTTCAATAGGATTTCACATTTCTATAGCTCTACACTTTACAAAGCATTTTCTTCACAGGAGTTCTGTAAGCCAGATGATGCCAGGAGTATTGGCTCCATTTAACTGAAGGGGAAACTGAGGCTTAGAGCAACTAAGTGAAAGATCCTGGGTCTTCTGACTCCAAGTTCAGGACTTTTTCTACTATATGGTACTGCACATTTAATTTTTTCCTATTTCTTCCAGCAGGTCCTAGTGAAAGTGTGGAAATCCCTATCCCTGTGACCCCTGGAGAGCGCCAGGCTGGGGATGGCACATCCCTTCCAGAAACCCCAAATCCTAAAATGGTTTGAATTTTATACCTCCTTATCTTCATTCTTGGTATTCCCTTCTCTTTCTTTCCTTCCTTTCCTTTACTGTCTCCATTACCACCCTACTCCCACTTTATCCTTTTCTTTCCCTCCTCTCTTCTCATTCATTGATATCTGAGAGCTGGGATAGCATAACAAGGACTGGTGTTCTTTATTATCCAGGAAGGGGTGGTAGAATGGTCATGAGAATTATAATCAGGAGTCTCTTCCAGGAACCAGAAGGGAAGGGCTCCCCCTAATCAGACAGCTCATACACACACACCTCACCCACCCGCAGTGGCCTGGCATTGCCTGAATTATGTCCTCGGGCTGTCCTTGAGGCAAATCAAGTGTACAAGGCCCACAGCCCAGAGTATCAGTCCAAGTCTAAAAGGAATTGGGGTAGGAAACTCTGACAGGAACGCTAATGAAAATGGAGTCTGTGGTGCCAGGCTCTTGAGGCGCCCTTTTCTCCCTTGCAGATGTCTGCTGTTTATGCAGAGCTGGAAACCCGGTTGAGCAGTAGCTTCAAAGGAAAAATGGGGAGTATATCCAAACCAAGAGCTTCTCCCCCACTGGTTGATGCACCAAATACCCCAGGTATTTTCTGTCTGTCCCTGCTAGCATATTCACACTTGCTCCTTTCTTTATGTGTATATGCGTAGGCTGGGGGGTGGGAATGGGGGCGGGGAGGGAAGAATACTGTCCCTAGTCCTCATTTTTCTTACAGTGTTGCTAGTCCAGATCTCTTAGACCTTCTTTTCTATTTATTAATAGTAGTATTCAAAATATTTATTATTAAAGGACAACAATTAACTGTTTTTAAACAGTAAGTTGCAGTTTTACAAGTCCCTTTAACTTACACTTGAATCATAGAATATTGGTAATAAAAAGGACCTCCAAAGGTTGTTTATATTTTAATCTCTACCCAAAACATGATTCCCATCAACAACCTTCCTTGAAAAACAGCCAGCTACCCCAAAGAGATCAAAGAACAAGGAAAAGGATCTATATGTACAAAAATATTTATAGCAACTCTTTTGTAGTGGCAAGGAATTGGACATTGAGGTGATGCCCATCAATTGGGGAATGACTGAAGAAGTTGTGGCATATGATTGTGTTGGAAAATACTACTGTGCTATAAGAAATGATGCTGGGGATGGTTTCAGAAAAACATGGGGAAAAGGGCAGCTAGGTGGCACAGTGCACAGAGCACTGGTCCTGAAGTCAGGAGGACCTGAGTTGAAATTCGGCCTCAGACCAAACACTTGACACTTACTAGCTGTGTGACCCCAGGCAAGTCGTTTAACTCCAATTGCCTAAAACAAAACAAAACAAAACAAAACATGGAAAGACTTAATGAACTGATTTGAAGTAAAGTGGGAAGAACTAAGAGATCATTGTACACAGTAACAACAATATTGTGAATATGACCAACCATGAAAGACTTGGCTACTCCGATCAATACTTCACCCTGTTTGCCTCAGTTTTCCTCATCTGTAAAATGAGCCAGATAAGGAAATGGCAAAACCACTCCAGTATCTTTGCCAAGAAACACCAAATGGGGTCACAAAGAGTTGGACACGACTGAAATGGTAGGACAACATACGTATTACCCAAATGAGATCTACATAAAGTGCTTTGAAAACCTTGCACTCTATGAACCTCAGCTGTTATTATAGTTGTCTTTTCTGCCCAACCATCTTCTCCATGAGGGGAGGGACTATTTCTCACCTTTGTGTACTCCTTAGTGCCTAGTACAGTGCCTTGAACACGGGAACATTTGTGACCATTCTTTTGAATACACGATTGTGTTGCACTTCACAGTTCACAAAATTATAATAACTTCCACTTGTGTAGAGTTTTACATACATTCTCATGTGAGAGGTGTGATAAAGGTAATTGGGACCCAGAGATGCAATAACCATTCATTTAATAAGTGAGAAAACCTAGGCCTAATGACTACAAGCCCAGTCCTCTTTCTCTTGACACATAAATGAATGAATGAAGGTATGAATGACCAAATCCTCTTGCGTTGCTTCATTTGTAGGGGCCCGGAAGCCTGGGCCAATCATCTCGTGGCCGAATGACCCTCTTCCACCCCAGCCCTGCTATTATCACCCATGCCCTGGGAGCCTCCCATCCCCAAGCAGCACAGAATCCCATCCCTACGTCAGCCTAGACAGCAGCCCAGCTCCCTCGCCCCAGCTCACAGCCATGGCCAGCAGCCCCAGCCCCCCCACCTGCAGGAAAAAACTCTTCACTTTCTCGAGACCGCCACGGAGTCGTGACACAGACCGCTTCCTGGACGCTCTTAGTGCACAGCTGGGTGCCCGGGTTACGATGGTTGATGACTTTCTCACCCCTGAGAATGACTATGAAGAGGTGAGAACTGAACAGCCCCCATGCCACAGAGGTGGAGGCAGGAAACAGCTCCTGGCTCTATTGGCACTGATAGGCAAGATTCCTACAGATGCCCAGCCTGGAGCAGGCACCCCCAAGGACCTTAGAGCTTGAGGGTAATGTGTCTAATTGGGCTAATTGGGATGCATTAATAGGTGCTGGAAATTAGCAAGTGCATCCTTTCAAAGTCTTTACTTCCCAAGTTCCTTTAATGCATCCTTATGTGATAAGATTTTGAGTCCCCTTCTTGCCCAGTCACCTTCCCCTGGAGGAACCCCAACCATCTAGCCCCTTGGTGCCCCTAGACCACCCTCCAAGAGGAGAAGCCGCAGAAAAAAGTGCTGACTTGCCTTTGTAGAGTTTTCTACATGAATGAAATCAGGTTCAGGCCTCAAAGAAAAGGAAGTACGGTATCCTTACGAAGGGAAGAGTGGAGGGAAGGTTCATATAGTTTAACACTTCCCTGGCCTTCTCAAACCACATCTGCAGCACCATGTCCAGGTGTGGGCACCACATTTTAGGGAAAATTCTGACAAGTCAGACTTTGTGCCATCAATATCTGGTACTGGAGGCCTGTAGCCTGGAGAATCCATAAGCATTCATTAGAAAAGAGAAGTCTTTAGTGGGACATGGTAACTGTCGTCACGAATTTGAAGGTTTAGATTGGTTCTGTTGGGCCCCAGCCACCAGAACTAGGAGCTTTGGGTGGAAATTGGAGAGAGGCAGATTGTAGCTTGATATAAGTAAAATCTTCTTGATGATTGAAAGTGGAATGGGTTGCCTTAGAAGGTCTTCTTGTTCTGTTTGTGAAGAGGACATGACATCAAGAAGGAGATGTCATGACTTGCAAGTGAATTGGATTTAAGTGAGACAGGGCTGTGCAAAATCACCAGCCTCACTCCTCCGGAGTAGTGACTTTTCCTTTGATGACAGTCTTTGAGCTGAGGTTGAGAATGTTATAGAAGGGATTCTTGTGTAGGTGTGGATAGCACTAAATGGCTTCCAAGTCCCATCCAGCTCTAACATTCTTTGATCCTATGAATGGAGATTGGTTGAATGAGCCAACATAATACTTCAGTCCTGATGCTACTCTCAACTCTTCCCTACCTTACCACTCTTACCTCATTCCATTCATCCCAGTTTGCCCCATCCCTTTCCATCTGACCCAGATACTACAGCCATCCTACTGACCATGGAAGCAATGTGACCAATGACCTGAGTAGTGAGAGTGAGTAATCCACCTGGCCTCTTAATTGTCAGAGGAAGTGGGAAGGAAGAGGAAGGGGCAGGATAGAGCAATTCCTGATGTAGCAGTGGCCTGCCAGGCAGGGGATAGAGAATGTAGTCCAGGGCCTAGCTGAGATAGGAGCAGGAACAGAATAGATCCAAACCATGGCCTTGTGACACCTGCATCTCTACACTCCTGGGAAGTGGGCAATCTATAGCCAATGTCCAATGAAGCACATTGAAGGTATTCAGAGGAAAGAGGGGGAAGCAGGAAGGAAGGGAGGAAGGAAGGAAGGGAGGAAGGAAGGAAGGAAGGAAGGAAGGAAGGAAGGAAGGAAGGAAGGAAGGAAGGAAGGAAAGAAGGAAGGAAGGAAGGAAAAGAAGAGAAAGAAGAAAGGGAAGGAAGGAAGGAAGGAAGGAAGGAAGGAAGGAAGGAAGGAAGGAAGGAAGGAAGGAAGGAAGGAAGGAAGGAAGGAAGGAAGGAAGAAAGGAAGGGAGGGAGGGAAGGAGAAGGGCGGGAGTCCTGGGCCCAAGAGGTAAGCTGAACTAAAAGGCAATTTCTCTGAGAGTGGAAGCCAATATACTGCATTCCAGGAGGACCTGAGATCTAAGAACACTTCCTTTGGAGTCAGAAGACCCGAGTTCAGATCCCACCTCTGATGCTTACTATCTGTGTTATCTTGAACAGATCACTTAATCTCTTTGGGCCACAGTTCTTCATCTAGAAAATGGGGAGGTTGGGCTAGATGGCCTCTGTGAACGCTGAGCCCAGAGTCAGGAAGACCCAAGTTCAAATCTGACCTCAGACACTAGCTGTATGGCCCTGGGCAAGTCACTTAACCTCAGTTTGCCTCAGTTTCCTCACCTGTAAAATGGACATATAATAGCACCTACCTCCCAGGGATATTTTGAAGATCAAATGAGATGGTAATTGTAAAGCATTTAGCACAGTACCCAGTATGTAGCAAGCGCTATAGAAATGTTAGTAGTAGTAGTTGTTTCTCTGATCCTGTGAGGTGGGCTAGCTGTATTTTGCTAATATGGCAACTTTGCTTCTCACCCGGTGCTTATTATTTCAGTGCTCCTAATGTACTCAAAGCTCAGCCTTTCTTTTTCTTCCTTTATCATAAACAGATGAGTTTCCTTGACGACCAGGGCAGCTACGTGACCAATGACCTGAGTAGTGTCAGCGAGTATGTCAGTAGCAGTGAGGAGGGCAGCTCACTGACCTATTCTTCCATCTCTGACCACATCCCCCCGCCACCTCTCAGCCCACCTCCTCCACCCCCACTCCAATTCCATGACCCCAAACCAGGTCCACGGAACCTTGATGGCCCTCTTAACACCACGACACTGGCCAAGCCACTTGGGGCCCACTCCCACCAAGTCCCTCCTCCTCCTCCACCACCTCTTCCCCCACCAGTCCCTTGTGCTCCCCCACTGCTCCACCGAGGCCTTGGACATCGCCGCAGCGAATCGAACCACATGAGTGTCAAACGTCTTCGGTGGGAGCAGGTGGAGAACTCAGAAGGCACTATATGGGGCCAGGTAAGTGGGAAGACCTAGGTCTTGGAAAACTGGGGCATTAGGAACTGTCTTTTGCAGGCAACTGGTGGGTATTGAAGTGGATGTAAGCTGGCTAATCTCCTATTTTGTTTATAAGGGGACTGGTTTTATCTTCAGTTTGGGAAGTTAAAAAAGGTAGGGGACACCCCAGAAGTCACACTGTTAAGTACCTCCAGAACTTCGTGTGGGGTAGATTCTCATTGAAGGTGGTTAGCCTTAGGAATCGAAGCTGTTTAGGCTAATTATCTAATTCTCTCCCACTGTCCACAAATATCAATCTAATTAGGTCCCTCCCTAAATATCCTCAGTGTCTCAGGAACCTATAGACAAGATATCTTCCTGGCTTGAGATTGATTTGCAGGCTCTGAAGAAGAGTCCCCAACTTGCACATCTTGACTGTGACCTTAAGAGTCCTTACAGGTGTAGTCAAGGAATTCCCGTAATTACAGGGCATCTGCAAAACAAAACAGTATTTCTTTCAATGAACTGCTTCACCTAGGTTGAAGTCAATGGCTGTAATCAGAGCATTAGTATCATAGGCAACTCTCACTGGTTCTTAAAGACTAGGCTAAGAGTAAGAGATTTCTTTTTTTCACTAAAAGGCCAAAATTCACTCTAAGAAGTCCCCATTAATCTGTAGACTATAACGGACAATGAAAATTAGACTCATAGGATGTCAGAGCTTAGTGGTTACCTAGTCCAGACCCTTCATGTTACAGATGCAAAAATGGATGCCCCCAAGGATGGAGTAACTTTCCCAAAGTAAATTAGTACTAGAACTGGGACTCCATCCTAGATCTCTTGACTCCCAGTCCTATGTTTCTGGCCCAGGGGTAGCATATACATACATACACACACACACACACATATATATACACATACATATACACATACATATACATATATATATATATATATATATATATATATATATATATATCTTGAAGCCAAAATCTTTCAAAAAATTTATTTACTCTATGTTTTCTTATACATGGACAAAAGGAAGGGTTCAAAAACACAGAATTATTTCACATATACCAGATTTGAAAAAAAATCATGAAGAAGCAAGTCCAGGCACCACAAATTTATTAAATTAATAAATTTGTTATTATTTGTTAAGCATTGGGAATGCAAAGAAAGGGAAGACAGCCCTTGATCTCAAGGAGTCCATAATCAATTAGTCTTCTAATGGAGTGCCTTTATCTCTGACTGCAGGCATATCTCAGTCAAGTTGTGTAAAAATATTGATTCACACCAAGATTCTTACAATGTATGACATCTACTTTGAACCAGGCAACAGTTTTGCTGAATTTTTGTGTACCATCAGTATAGCCAGGCCATGATAATAACTAAAGAAGAAAATGGTGACATAAAATTACAGAAGAATCAAAATGATTCAGAGCAGTCAAGTATTGGCCTATTCATACTGTGTTATCCTATTTGCATCTCAGTTAGTGTTTTTGTAGAGACATATGCAAAAAAGGCTGCCCTGAGTCACACAGGGCTTACATTTTGGCCTGAGCGTGTCCCACCTTTGGGAACTAAGAGCTCAGAGGTGGGGATCAGGAGCCCTGGGTTTGAGTCACAGTTCTGCTAATAACTGGCTTTGGGCAAATCTTTTCCCCTTCCTCTCATTAATTTTCTCATGTGTAATATAATGGGCATTGGGAGAAGGCCTGAATGAGACAACTCCCAAGGTTCTTTTTAGTTCTGACAGTCTAAGTCTATACAACGTGCTACCCTCTGAAGCCAGCTACCATGATGTTTCAGGACTATGTGGTTAATTTCTTAGTTTTATCTAAACTCTACTCCATAGAACATTGTCCCCTATGGATCCAGTGATTTCTCCCACTGACTTCAGGAGTTATTACTTTCAGATCAGTCACCCACATCTGAAAGTTTCCACTGACTTTAATAAATGTAGTTCACCTCCCCCATCAAGCCCTTCTAGCTTACAAAGAGGTGTGGAAACTCCTACCAATACAGGTCAATCAGTCAGTGGACAAATGTGTCCCATGATATCCCAGTGTCGTTACCCAAGGGACCACTTCCTCTCCTGCCCCTCCCCCTTTCTTACAGCTTGGGGAAGATTCGGACTATGACAAATTGAATGACATGGTGAAATATTTAGACTTGGAGCTCCACTTTGGGACACAGAAGCCAACAAGTAAGTGGCCCAGCATACTTGAAGGGAAATGGGTGAGGGCAGAGAGTCTCTGGAGTAGGAGAAAACAGATCTCTTCTTGTCAGATTGACTGGGAATGGGCTCACTGTGTCCACTAAACAGCTTAGAATCCTTTTAGGTGACTCAATAAAATAGCCTGACTTGGGAGAGGTGGTCCTGAATGGAGGATGAAAGGCCCTTCAAGTGTTGCCTTTGCTTTTGGCACTGTTACCCATATGACTTTTGGAAAGTACCTCAGCCTCAGTTTCCTCATCTGTAAAATGGGAATAGTAATACTTGCACTACCTTTCTCACAGAGCTGTTGTAATTCATAAACTGCAAAAGCGTTTTAGAAATGTGAAGTATTATTATTTTCTTATATTTAGAAATTGATATTCACTCCTGGATTAATAATCCTACTGGTACTGTATCTACTTGGGCCATCTATGTCATGAAGCACAAATAAACAGAGACTAGGAGAGCCCAGGGTCAGCTGCCTTTGGTATGCACAGAGAAGGAGGTAGAGATCAGCAGCCTAGGAAGGTGCTCATAACTATGTCCATATAGACAGGCATAAAACGCCTTACCAGGAACTCGCCATCATCAGTGGTGGCCAGGCTGGTGCCATGACATCTGAGTCTACCCAGAGCATCTGTGGCATCTTTTGTGGTGATTGGGGGTTGGGGCAGGTGGTACATTTCTTAGACTGGCTCCATGATGAGGATGAGGGACCAGCATTATCCCCTGCACCCTATACAACACTGACTCCCTAGGCCCTCACCACCTGAAGGCCAGGAAGCTTATATTTCACCCCTCCCCCAGGGTTCTCAGACACCCTTAAAGGGAATTAGAGGTGTCTAGGCTTTTTGCCGATGGCTCCAGACTGATTGCAAGTACAGGGGAGAGGTCCCTTGAACCTCAGCTCCATTTTACCACTAACAGTCAGATTAGCTTTTATAAAGGAATACTTACTTCAAAGGTACATCCAGGAGTGCCCCTTCCACACCCCATGCCACCTCACTCTCTGGGACAGGAAAAGGGATTAGGTGCACAGTTTGTCTGAGTTCCTATAGAGCACAGTCTCAATTTCTAAGTCCAAAATCCCCCTTGGGCTCAAGTCTCAAGCATCCTAGCTTCCCAAGGCTCTTATGCCAGGGTAGTTGGCTCCAAGGTTGCTATGGTTTGAGCTCCCAGGTCCAGTGGGTATTACTGTCCTTACCTGAAATTGAGAAAGACGAACAAAACAGCACAGAAAAAGTACCTCAAGCCACAAGGCCTAACGGGTGAGACGAGGAGGATATCTACTCATTCCCTGCCCAGCTCATTTCATGGTGACCACATTATAGGAATGCAACAAGAGTAAGACTGTCCTGGTATGGCCAGTTTTAAAGATGAAGCCTATTCTGGCTATGTAGCCAATCAAAGGACACTACTCTCAACTACGTTGTAGGGAAATGCAGGGAAGCAGAGTGCTTCCATGTTAGGTGATCTGGGCGAGAGCAGGGGAAGCACTATTATCCTTAGGTATTATTGGAATGTGCCCTCCTCCACCTTGAATCTAGGTGGCACAGTGGATAGAGTGCTGGACCTGGAGTCAGGAAGACTCATCTTCCTGAGTTCAAATCCAGCCTCAGACACTTAATGGGCAAGTCAGTTAACCCTGCTTGCCTCAGTTTCCTCATCTGTAAAATAAGCTGGAGAAGGAATGGCGAACTGCTCCAGTGTTTTTGCCAAGAAAACCCCAAAATGGGGTCAAGAAGAGTTGGACACAACTGAAAAACAACTGAACAATAAAAATCTCATGTCTAAATTTGACATGGCCTATAATCCCCCACTGTGTGGCTCAATAAGAAGGTAAATATGGTCTCTATGAAGAGAGAACTTTGTCATGTGGTGCTTTCTTCCAGGGCTAGAAGGTGGATTAAGCAGCAGGCTTTTACCTATAGGAAGCTTGAGTTAAACTACCCACCCCACAGTATGTACTTAACTGGTGCTCATAATAATTGATTTCTGTGGTCCAAAAAGGCCCTTCATGTTTGAAAGTATCTCTTCCATGGGGCCTGATTTCATAGGATCTGAAATTCTGGGTAGAGAGCATCTCTCACTTAGTTTAAAGCAACTATGTTTCTGAAGGACCCTATGTAAATGTTTGCATGTTAATATACCTCACTGTCATGTTAGTGCCAACAATACAGCTTAGCTGATTAGCTTTCCACCATCTTGAAGAACAGGCTCAGGGACAAAAGAGTATGTAATATAGGATGGGTTAATCTTAAAAGGAAGAGGGGAGGTCCAAGTAGAGACTAGAACATGAGGTTACCCCAGCACAGTAAGAGAAGGCAGAATGCATAGTACAAAAAACATGGTGGCTGTAGTCAAGTTCAACTACTGGCTCCATCACTTACTGCTTGTGTATGACTGAACAAGTCATTGGCAAGATGACATTGTTTGACTAGGTCCTCTAGATCTCTAATCTTTTATTCCTATAAACTCACTATTTTGCTACAAAACACTTCATTCACTTATAGGGCCTTCATTTAAAGTCATCCTCCCTTTAATATATAACCTTAGACTCTGACTAGTAAGGAACCCCAGAAGTCATCTGGTTCAGTCTCTCATGCCATGGAGGAATCCCTTCTCTAGCATACATGACACGTAGCCACCTAGCCTCTGCTTGAATACTACCAGTTCTAGGAAGTTCACTACCCATAGAGACAGCCCATTCCATTGTTAAACTGTTGTAATTTTTAAAACGTTCTTCCTAACATTGATCCATAATCTGCCTTCCTATAACTTAGCGCTGTCCTTTGGGGCTAGGCCAAATATTTCTAATTTCTTTTATACTGATAGGCCTTCAGATATGAAAAGAGTGTTATCATGTCTTCTCTCCTCTAGGCTAAATATCCACATTTTTTCAGTCATTTTTTTACATGACATTGTCTCCAGACCCCTTATAATCCTGGTCATCCATCTCTGGAAATGATCTAGTTTAATACCCATCCCCTACCAAATGTGGTGCCCAGAACTTAACGCAATATTTCAGATATGATTTGGCCAGGCACGATACAGTGGAACTATCACCTCCATCGATCTGAGTACTAAGCTTTTATTTGAGTAGCCTCAGATCCCATTAGCTTTTTTTTGGCTGCCACATCACATCAAACTACCAGTCAACCAAAACCTTCATGGCTTTTGCATAAACTACTGTCTAGTTATGTCTCCTCGTTACATACTTCTCAGGTAAAATGCAGGAGTTTGCATTTCTCCCTGCCAGATTTCGACTTGTTCGTTTTGATTGAGCATTTCAACTTGATACAATCTTTTTAGACTTTGATTTTGTCGTTCATCGTAACAGATAAAAGACAAAGCTCCCAGACCAGTGAGCCTGTCAACCACTATCTTACCCTGTAAGGGAACCTCAGGGATCTGATGATCTGCTATTACTGCTTTAAACATCACTCCTCTGAAAGGGAATGAGTGGATGGATGGATGAGGTAGTGTTACTGTTACTATGCTGGTTTAGGTTTTGCTAGTTCAGCTTTCAAGGCCATTTATTTCCATCTTAGTAATTTGATGTGATTAGGGCAGGCAGTTCCTAGATTATCGGTGGTGCTTTGGATATGGTCTCACAATCTGAATGGCCATCAGGTATAAAGAGGAAGAAACTAACCTTCTTTCTGCTAAAATATCTGCTATTAAAAAAAGCCACTAACAGAGCCATATTAAGGAATCCTACATCAGCAGTCTCTCATTATAAACGTCCAGACATTGGAAGAGTTGGGTCAGATCTAAACTTTAGCAGTTGGTGACTTCCTGCTGCTGCTCGCATCACTCCTTTGCCACCACTGAAGTTGGCACTGTCCTGCTGCCTTTAGAGCTCATGGGCCCTCTCCCAGTGCCAGGACTCCACCCTTCCTCCCTCACCTCCACTGGAGTTGCTGCCATTGCTGCGGGATAGGTTCTAGAAAAGTCCTTAGTCCCTCCAGTAGGCCAGTCTAAGGTATGAAGAGTCAGGGCTCATTTCCAGGGCCTTGTGAAGGTGAAGGAACAGAGATAATATATGTTACTGGTATCCTGAGTTTGAACTTGAAATCTGTATTCCATAGGAATGGTGTTATAAATGCTACAAATAAGGATTCAGAAGTACAACTGAAGTCATAGTTCAGCTACGTTGTAGTCGAAGTAGGGATTTCTGGGCAGACCAAAGACCCTAACTATAATATGTGTGTTTGTATGTATATGTGTGTATGTGTACGTGTGTGTGTAAAATGTATGTTATGTTTTCTATAGGAAAATGCATTTTAAGTTCCAGAAAACTGACTTAGAATCAAACTTTCAGACTACAGCCATTTGTGGGTCAAGGTTATAGTCAAAGATTCCTCTTCAGAGCAAATTTAAAAATAAATACCTAGGTACTGTTACTATGAGCTTATTGAGGTCTAAGACTGTTTTTTGTCTTTCTTTTTATCACTATCACTTAGCGCACTGCTGGCATGTAGTAGACCCTTAATAAGTGCTTATTGACATGATTTGACTTGACTTTCTCACTAAACCTCATCACTGCTCACTCAAATCTTAGTTTTAACTTCTAGATTTCAGTCTTATCCCCTAATGAAATCTCTCCTGGCCTTCGGACCCATTTGACTCTAGGCTACTTCCCCAGTCACTAGGGCTTCCTTCTATTAGAATCACCAAAAATCTATTCCTTTAGCTTAAAAAGGTAGAAATAATGAAAGGATGCCCCCGGTTTCCAGATCAGCTATTAGATCTGCTATTTCCTTTGCCTTCCTTTTACTTTATTTCATTTATATATGGAAACAGCAGGAGAGATTCTAAATATCTTTATATGCCTGTAGGTAAGCGATTATAGCATTCTGACCTATAGTCAGAAAGGTTTCAGCCACATAAACCTTTGGTGGAGAAGGGTGGGAGGTGCCCACTTTCCTGACCCTTCAGTATCTGAAGGTTAGATTTAAACCCTATGGTTCCTTCACCCAAGGCTC